CCCACTGCTAAAGACCCCTACGCGCAAGCGAATTATTGAAATAAAATTAAAACCATATGTTAGTCCCGAAATGACCTAGTTTGTGTCGAGTGGACGTTAAACCCCATTTCTCTCTCTCTCTCTCTATCATGCTAACATTAATTATCTTTCTATTGCATAATTAAAGATTTAAGCTTATACACAGACTATCAGATTAACAAACTACACCATGTTCAAAATTCAGCAGATCGACTCATCACTAATACCAGAAAACAGCAACACATTTCCCCTGTATTGTAATATACACTGGCTTCCAATTCACCAAGAATTAAGTACAAATTACTGGTGCTCTTCTTCGTCTTGAAAGCATTAAACGGCCCAGCTCCATCTTGTATAAAAAAAAGTGTTGCTATCAGTACCAACAGAAATCTCTGTTCTCAGAAAAAACATTTTCTGAAATCTCCAACTATTAATTTAGAAATTAGAAAACATACTTTTTCCTATGTGGGGCCTTTTCTGTGGAATAAAATACCATGTGCAGTCAACGAAACAATTAATGTCAGTAGGCCATTTTAAATCTCAACTCAAAACATTCCGGTTTCAAAACCCTGGCCTGTAAATAATCAGTGAATATAACAACCAACTGCACCTTAAAACTGTTCTTCAATTCAGTATTATTGTGCTTTATAAAATGACAATATTATTATTAGTATGAGTTCATGAGACGAAGAAGTCGATAATTACTTGCAGAGTTATTGGCCTAATTTCTTTTAAGAAATATGTGGATCCTCTGATAATGGCTAAAATTATTATCAGACTGATTTAAATTTTAAATAGTGTTATGTTCATGGGACAAAGAAGTCAATTTCTGTTCAATGATTTCGAATAACTCAAACAGCTGAAGTTATCATCTGAATACCAGAACACGTATTGTATACCGGAATCATATTAATACATTGTACATTTTATAGTATCTTGTACACTAAATGCTTTGAATACCTTCAAGGGAATAAATATGCAACAGCCTTTGTGGACTGCTAGGATGACTTCTGTGGGTGTATGTTCTGCTTCCTGGAAATCGACCTTTGATGACACTTTGTGCCTCGACTTTTCTCGAAGACAGATGACAATTATAATGGGTTCTTCCATCTGTCTTTCTGCCTGTGCGCCACACCTTTGGGACCACATTAACTCTGCTTCTAATTGAGATAGATTGTTCAAACTTGGTGTTGATGTTCATTTTAGGTGAATGTCTTGTCTGAATTTGATGATGATTATTCTGCGTATGCCAAACTGAGACAAGCAATTTGATTTGTTGATGCTTTGGAATATGATCACTTTGAGGTGCGGTAAGAAGAGGGATGTTTCATACATCAATACCTTGAGTTAGTTTGATAATGAGCATTTTCTGCTCGGTTAAGCAGAGTGATAAATAATTTGATTGCTCGATGCTTTAATTATGGATAGATATTTGTGTCATCTATTTATTTTGGAATTAAGGAAGGGGACATCAGCCTCACAGTTGGCTGATTGGTCTTGAATTTATGTTTATTCAACATAATAACCATCACAGCACTTATGGAAAAGTTTTCAAACCGAGGATGTGACCAGTTAAAACACAATTTGAACCAAATATTTAAAGAAAGCGTTAAGCTATTCTGAATAAACCTTGAGTATTTTCCATTTTCTATACAAAGTATAATAAACACTTCGACAGCTGGAAATTAATGTCATTCAGTATTTCAACAGCTGATGCACGTATGAACTCGAAACAAATGTATAGGCATAATTACTAATGAGAAAAAAGATAATGGGTATTTAATTATGTATTGAGCCGAATTGCTGCCATATTAAGAGAAAATATAATAGTTAAAATTGACAAATTATCCTAGTCAAAATGGTCATTTTCGAGATTTTTTACTTGTAAATATCACATAACACCAAGTCACTATATTAGTATCAAAACAAACCCAAAAATCTAGTTATGTTTTTTCACTTTCTACCTTTCGCCATTGCAAATTCACTGTAACTTTTTCATCTTTACATTTTCAGCTATCAGAATTTCTCCATTTTATTTCCCCCCACCAAAATTTCTCCAATGGAACGGACAGAGGGCGTGGTTCCGGGTTCAGTCGAAGTTGGTGTCATAAGACGCCAGTATTTATTGTCTCGGCTAAAATGACTGCTCCATTGGGTTATTCATAACGCTTAAAGATACATTCCCACTTACAAACTTTGTGATTTGATGATATATTTGGACAAAAAAACATATTCAAAGTAACCAATCTATCAAAAATTTGCTTCATTTTACTCTCAAAAGTTTGTATTCGCCGGGAATACCTATAGCTATAAGTAAACTGTTGTTAGACGCAATGTCTATCAACATAGCTTCATTGTGGGAGGGTCGATTTTTCAAAATGTATTTATCATTACTTACTGTACATTTACCATACATATTGAGGCCTAAGTAAATTCTTAATTATTTCTGTCAACTTCTTTTTCCGCCGTTTATTTTGTATGTTGACACCCCTCAATGTTCCCAAATTTATTATCAGACTGATTTAAATGTTGTATAGTGTTATGTTCATGGGACAAAGAATCAAAGAAGTCAATTTCAGTTCAATAATTTCGGATAACTCATCTGAATACCAAAACACGTATTGTATACCGGAATTATATTAATACATTGTACATTTTATAGTATCTTGTACACTAAATGCTTTGAATACCTTCAAGAGAATAAATATGCAACAGCCTTTGTGGACTGCTCGGGTGACTTCTGTGGGTGTATGTATGTTCTGCTTCCTGGCAATCGACCTTTGATGTTCCCAAAACCGCCTAACCATTTGATCAAGAAATAACTACCGCTCCCTCACTTAAGCTGGCTCATAATAAGCTGCCAGATAACAGTCGAGTTGCCAGTTGGTGATACCCTGACAGTTTTGCCCAGTGCTTGCCCCATGGGCGTTTTTTGGGTAATCCAGTATTTTTCTAGTAATAAGCTGCCAGATAACAGTCGAGTTGCCAGTTAGTGGCACCCTGACAGTTTTGCCCAGTGCTTGCCCCATGGGCGTTTTTCGGGTAATCCAGTATTTTTCTAGTAAAATTGGGTGTCTATACTTTCCATATAGACCATATTTGACATACTTTTATTGGAAATAACCACCCGATAAATACTTTTCTGGGAAAGTATCTTTAAGAATTGTCCGATTTTATTTATTATGTTTAGGAGAAAAAAAATGAAATAAAGTTGTTGTCATGTTGAACAACTTTTTGTTTAATGAGTTATATCATCGAACTTGAGGTTGACTCATTGTCTTAATAGATCGGATGAATTTTTGACAGTGCAGATGTGAGCGAATTGCTGGCGTTATATCTGAAACAGGTGCCTCGCTGCCTTAATGAATTAAGAAAAGATTTACAGTCATTAGGCGATGCAATAAATTTCAAACAAGACAATTAGGACATGGTAGAGAGTATCATGTTTCGTCAGGAAGTGTTGATCTGCCAAAGTTATTTATTCCACAAGAACAGTTACAATATTTAGTTGATCAAGATCTGTAATTTGTGGAAAATAAAAAATAAAAAAATATAAAATATACCTGAAAAGAGGTATCAATTATTGTTATCATTGGGTCGGTTACCCAGAATATTTTAATTTACCTTTACAATCGATCATGATAAGGTACGGTAGTTGTGATGGCAACACATGTAGCAGTCGAGCCTACCTGTCCACTGTCAATATTAAAATCTAATGGATTATGTAGTTGTCATCAAACATGAAAGTAAAGACATAAATTATTTGTTCTTTTCACATTGACTGGGGTTAAATAATGCGAAACTAATAAAAAAAGTTATATTAAATAAAATACATCCAGAAAATAATTAGGCCTATATATATGCCTCTCCGACAAGACTCAAGAGTTAAAGTTACAATTTCATATTTTTAAGTTATATTTTTAAAATGTATTAAAATAAAGCCCTAAAATAGATGGTATCTATAAACAGTCCTACTTTTTAAAGTAGCTAAGTCTCTAACTCAATATCATCCAAAAACTTCGACATTGAAAACAAGATTTATTTATTGATGTTGTGATCTTACCGGGAAAAGATGGCCTTCTGATATCCAATATTTAAGACAAAATAAACATTTTACAATTGGTACACGAATCGTGTACCATAATGCGTTTCAGCGCTATTTGTAATAAGGGATTCGAAAAACGAGGCTAGGCATATTCCACAAGTCATGTCACACGGTGATGCTATATTCTTATCTGGAGAGCATGCCCAATAAATACTATCGGCATAGACTGGAATAACCAGACGCTAGAGATTGAAATTTGATTGAGAATACTGGCGTATTTCGCTGAACCTAACTGATTAGAAATTACAGTAAAAACAGAAACGATTGGATGTAAATCAATTTATATACATTCATATTATATTATTGTATGTGTTGCGACCCATTTGTGTCAATTTCTAGGTCCCAAATATTAGCGACTTAATTAGCTCCTGAATAATCCTATACTTCATTATTTTTAACTTCAAATTCAAACGTTTGAAGATAGCTATTCATGGTGGGGAATAGGAAAACAAGGGAGGTAATTGTGTTATTTCCGGTGGGAAGATTTTTAAGTGTGAGAAAGATAACCTATGATCGTACCTATTGAGCGAAAGAAATAGAAATAATTATGTTTTGACTTTCTTAGAAAATATGAAATTGTAACTTTAAAAAAACCCATTATATTATTCAATTTATTGACGGTCGGATGGTATCATGTTAGTAATAGTTATTGAATTTATTAAAATCATTAGCATTTATACTTTTGCAAAGCGGAATTTTTTAAAACAAGTATTTTATTGAAGAGAGCGGCGTCCATTTTGACAACTATGGTCGAACTAGCTTCCGTTTGGCTGTAGTGAACTATACTTTGTCGTCTAGTCGTGACCATACACTAGCACTCGAAGGCAACCTAAGCTGTTTCTATCATGCATGTTATTTTTAGTATCATTCAGGTCACATGACTCATCCTGCTCATAAACTGTGAGGTCACTCAAAAAAGTGATATTTTGTCTGAACATTCACATACCTCACATCATGGCAAGTGACAGTGTGTAGGGAGAAGGAAGAGCGTAAATTATTTTGACTTTCTGTACTGTTTCAAGAGCATTGAAGTGAACAAAATGTCAGGTTTTAGTAGGGCAGCAACTATTGTAAGTGTATTTGTTTGCTAGAATATATTGCCCTTGGTGAAGGTTTATGTGAATGCACAGCATAGTCTACCCACTAACCCAGTCAACAATAACCTTGTAATTCCATATTTTCACTACACCTTTTCACAATCTATACATATACAAACTATATAGATTCAATCAGGCATGATAGATAGATTACCAATTACGTGTCATGGATATAAATAGCCTACGATATAGATAGCATAACACTTGAAATCAAGTCGAAAGGTGATTCTGCAATGAAATATGACTGCATAATTAGGCCCTATTTCATGTTTTTAAATATCTCAGTGTATTTTGATTCCATGGAAATAAATATGTAAATTTTGTTTCATCTTTAGGTATTTTGTGTTTTTGATATTCGATCGGATGGCACATACATGTGTAAGCCCCCCCTCCCCCCCCATGTTGATTTTGATTTGGGCAGGGGGTACCGGTAGCTGAAATTTTCAGCCGAGATAATTCTTATGTACGGCTGCAATTGATACACTATTCGATTCTTTGCGCAAGTAGAATTAGGTTCAGGTGCAAAATTTTCAACACATATCATGATAGTTTGCATGGAAATAAGTGATTATGTTACAAATAGTGAAGAGTGGAATACATAAATCATAATCTTATCATACCGAACAGTTTTTCTGTTGCGTAAGTAAAATTAGGTTCAGGTGAAAAATTTTCAACACATATCATAGTTTGCATGGAAATAAGGTGATTATGTTACAAATAGTGAAGAGTGGAACACAGAAATCATAATCTTATAATACCGAACAGTTTTTCTGTATTTTCGAGTGATATAATATCATATGATTCTGGTACGGCCCCCATTTTAACTGAACAAAAATTTTGCATTGCAGTTGGGGTAAATCAAATCATATAATTATGTGGTAAGGTTTCACCTTTATTAAAATGGGAATTGGTTTATTATATGTTAAGCTATGTGCAGTACAGTTTGAGGCCAATGTAATTGGAAATTAATGGAGTTATAGGCCAGAAACATTTTTGTAGTCAAATGACTACAAAACTTGCGCAAAGGAAGGCCGTAGGACGGTCCACTACTGTGGCTGGAGTAAGACGCAAGACATCAGTAGTGGAACCATTTCTAGGCAGGGGGTACCAAAAATGAGGCCGACTAATAATACACAATCACCTAATGTGAGTGACACGCTCAGTCAAGTTTGACCCCCAATCAGTGATTTGTCCAGATCGATCATGTCCGTCTGGTCACAATCAAATGCAAGAGTTGATAGTTCATTGAGGCGTTCTTGTTTCATTACTGCATGCATAACAATTTTTACTAATTTGAGCTTTGAAAAACTGGCTCGTATTGTGATATCCAATCAAAGCAATCATACATAAATACACAGATAATTTATTCATTTAGTTGCTAATGCATAATTTTGAGATCGACTGCAGTAACTGCACTAATTTTTTCCTGGAGACCCCCCCCCCCACCGTTACGCCCCAGATTCCTTCTCGATATTCGTATTACAGTAAACTTTGCATATAACGGACACCTTGCGACCGGAAGAAATCGTCTGTTATAAACGGTGTCTGTTATACAAAAAATCTGCTATCGACCCTGAATTAGCGACCAGAAGGTAACACCATCCCATGAAATAACATTTATCATATGCAGAATCTACAGAACATACATGTATTTACATAAAAGTCATGTATGTATTCACATATTATGGATGTTCAAAATAAACAAGCTTAATTGAAAAAGTCTGTAATGCAGGTCTGCTTGAATCCGCCAGAAACACGAAGAAAATCAGTAATATCATCATTCTGTTCTGCTTAATCGAGAATCTGTTATAAAAATGGACTTTTACATTGATTTGTCGATGAGGGACCGATGAAAATCGTCCGTTATAAACGATTGTCCGTTATACAGTGTCTGCTATAAAAGACTTTAAAAATCAGAAATTTCTATTACAAAAATCGGGACCAAACTGTTGTGTCCGTTATAAGCGATTGTCCGTTGTATGCACGTCCGTTATATACGGAGTCTACTGTATTTATTATTTAGTACCGTAATATATACAAACTCATGTCTCAGTATACATGTCTATAGACCAGTGATGAATAATTTTATTATGTGCCTTCAATCTAGATCAGTGATTCTCAACCAGTGTGCCACAAGATCTTACTAAGTGTGCCACAAAATTTTGATCGGCACAGTAAGAAAATGTGAAAAACCATGTGATCCCAATTGAGTATTCACTGGTGTCTACTGATAAGTTCATAGCTGTGTTTTTCTTTACTTAGTTTGAGTCATTCTATGTGTCTATGACCAGTCTCTGTCTACGGTTGTATTTTTTATTTTGCAAAATTCAAATATTTTTCATACATATTTAGCCAGGTCTGCCGCTATTTTTTCATGTGTTTCAAGGTCTGCCATTGGCAAAAAAAGGTTGAGAACCACTGATCTAGATTGGCATGAAAATTTGAACTATGTTTGTGTATAATACACTGTATAAGGATGTGTTAACTTAGGTGACACATTAGAACAAACAAAATTTCATGTTGTATATGTAGTATTTATATTTACAATCTTTATATACATAGGTCACTAAAATGTCAGCTTACTCAAATAAATTTAACATTTAATTAAGAAAACAATATCAAAACATCTACCACTAGGGACTGGGTATCATTCAGATTTGATGAAAAAAGGAAAGAAACTGAGCTTACCATCTATAATCTAATACACATATTCAGTTAAACATGCATTATGCAAGAGCAAAATCTGCTTATTACAAGTCTTTCTTTAGGCCTGAAATGTTATCTAAATTATCAATTAGACATTAATTAACTTATCCAGACCATAATAAACTCTCGATGTCAAGGCTAGCCTTCGATGTTGGCAGGATTAGATTCCTATATGCCGCTAACGGCCGTTGATAATTAAATCAGAAAAAGTGGATAATCGAGACTATGCTGTTTATAAAATGATTTTAGTAATGATGACCGAGACTATGCAAAAATTTCTCTCTCTCTTTCTCGGCTCATAGTGGATCAATTTGACTGAAATTTTCAGCAAATTACCGTTACACTATCTAATTTTTAACTATTATTGCGAGAACTGCCATCTCTTTAACTTATCTCCCATAATGTATCTTTAATAGATTGCCATGCAGAATGTTTTAAATACCATCAAGATTCATCAAATAACTCCCAGTTTGTGCTACCGTTTAGTTTAAGAAACACCCTTTAGTTTTAACATCGGTCATCTAGTTTATGACCATTTAGTTTAGTTTTGATACTGGTCATCCAGTTTATGACCATTTAGTTTCATAAACTAGACAACCGATGTCAAACTAAACGGTAGCACAAACTGGGCGGTTTTTGATGAATCTTGATGGTATTTAACACTTTCTGCATGGCAGTCTATTAACTGAATATGTGTATTAGATTATAGAAGGTAAGTCAGTTTCTTTCCTTTTTTCATCAAATCTGAATGATACCCGGTCCCTAGTGTACTGTAGATAATTTAATCTCCTGGCTTGAATTCAGTCAGCTCAGACAGGTTTTGACCATATCCTATATTGTCTGCAACCTGTTGTTGAATACAGTGGTTGCATCACAGACAGCATGTACATGTATCACCTTTGACTTACCTTGGCATGGAACAGGACTGCTTTATAATATTTAACAAAGTGTTGATATAATTGAAACAAATGTGTAACGACTATCACACCCAAAATTTTATCTCCTTTATATAAATATATCTATATGAAAACCACACTTTTTTTTTTACTGAATACAAGGAATAGGTTCCGTACTCTACTACTAACATAACAAATGTAGGGTTTAAAAATGCATTATTGAAGATTTAAATAAAGAGCTATGATAATGAAAAATGAAATATTGAAAATTTCAGTCAAATTACTGAATTTATTAGTGTTTGAAGTCTTGATTGTCAAGTACCATTGCTATGATCAAAAACAAAATTTTGGTTATCCATTTTTTAAAGTTGTATTATTAAATGGCGCAGGTGTTCAATCCATTCAATATTGTGGCCATAACATTTGATGCCCTCACCCCCTAAAAAGACCCGCAATAGACTGGTGTAGCAATTGCATTATGCATCTTGGAGCCACAGAGGCTAAGTGTTAAAATGCTGGCTTCCTAGCCTGGAGGTCACATGTTCGATCCCTCCATTGGGCAAGAAAGTTCATAGGGATTTTCTGACATGATTTCCCCGTGTCAGTTGTGCAGGGTGGAGGGCCTGACAAGGACAGCTGTCTAGTCACTCGGATGAAATGAAAAGCCGAGGTCCCGTGTATACATTGGCATGCATGTAAAAGATCCCTTGGCAGTTGGAATTCGATATAAGAGTAGGCCATAGTGCCGTGCCCGGGCACACTGTATGGCGCATGCCCGTCTTCATTAGCCCAGTCAGAGTAGGACATAAAACCCCATTTCATTTCATTTTTTTTCATAATGCAACTTAATCTTATTGGAATTTATTTAGTAACATAAAAGTGCTTGAATTACAATTAAAAGATATTTTCATTTTATTTCAGAGTGTACCCATTTTAATAGGGGCAGGAGTTGTTGCAGTGACAGCTGTATTAGCAAAGATTTTTCTCTTTGGCGGTAAAAAGAAGTCAGCACAGGTTACGTTAAAAGATCCTGATGTGAAAGTTCCCCTTCGTCTTGTAGATAAAGAGGTAGGAATGAAGTTATACACAATATTTATGTTTATGTGCAACCGGCGCAAACTACGATTCTCATATGAAGAAATTTAATTACACATGTTTATCATTCCATATCATATCCCAGGAACTATTCAAAATATGTATATTTAGGACACTTTGTACACATTCATGTATCAGCCATTTTGTGCTTTTCTGTATTTCGTATGAATAATTTTGGTTTGTACATTCATGAATTTCTTACCATGGATTTACTGGTATTATTATAATGCTATAACAAAATAATTTTGTATTTTAAACTTTCAACATCATACATCTACTTTAGAACTGAACATCTGCTTTAGAACTTTTTTGTCTTTTTATATGCCTACATTTTCATTTGGACGTATATTGTCGATGCTTCTGTCTGTCCGGACCGAACGTCTACAATTGTTTGTGGACACTCTACAGGTCACAATTCTTATCCGATTTTGACGAAACTTGAAATATAGGTTTATCTCCAAAAGATCTCGGTTCCTTTTAATATTGGCATGTATCGGATTGAAACATCATGGATTATGGCACCGATTGTAATGTACGAAAAATCACATTTTTAGGTCACAATTTTCATCTGATTTTGATGAAACTTGAAAGGCATGTTTATAAATTGTTTGAGTGGCATGTTTATAACCCAAAGATCTTGGTTCCTTTCGATATTTGCACATATCGGATCATAACTTCCTGAATTATGGCCCCTGATTGTACGAAAAATCACGTTTTTAGCTTGTGGTTATCTGGTTTAAAACAATGTTTGAATATATCGCCATTACACCGTAAGGAAGGATGAATTCAAATTTCGTGAAAATCAGACCAAAACTGCCTGGCTAAATGGCCGTTTTTTGTACGCAAATAGTGTAAAATTATGTAATACCAAGGTGGTGGACACTCTAAAAGTCACAATTTTTATCCAATTTTGATGAAACTTAAAATATATCTTAATATCCCAAATTCGATATTCGCGCATTTCAGATCATAACTTCCTGGATTATGGCCCCAGGTTGTATAAAAATTTGCCTTTTTTTTAGCTTGTTCTCTATACATCTCTTGCAAAATGTATCATGCCTGGCAACCGCTGGTTATACTTTGATTATGTAAACAGATACTGCTAGCTGTTAGTTATCGAGTTCAAATTCTGTCCACTGATTTGACTACAACTAAAATACTTAAAAATGTCATTCCATTTATTTCCTATTCCATTTTTATACGCCCACATTTTCATGTGGACTTATTATGCTGTTGCCCCCGTCTGTCCGTCCGTCCACAATTTATTTGTGGACACTCTACAGGTCACAATTTTTATCCGATGTTGACGAAACATGAAAAATAGGTCCCAAAGATCTTGGTTCCTTTGGATATTTGCATGTAATTGGACCATAACTTTAATGGATTATGACCCCCGATTGTACGAAAAATCATGTTTTTAGCTTGTGGACAACCCAAAGAACTCAAAGAACTTGGTTCCTTTTGATTTTCAGGCATATCGGATCGTAACTTCTGAATTATGGCTCCTGATTGTATGAAAAATCACGTTTTTAACTTGTGATCCCACTAGAGGTCACAATTTTTATGCGATTTAAAAAAAAGTTTGAATATGTGACCGTTACAGCCTAATAATGGTTAACTTCGAATTTCATGAAAATCAGACCAAAACTGCCGGACAAAATGGCCGCCCATCGTATGCAAATAGTGTAAAAATATGATATGGTATATCAAGGTTGGGGACCCTCTGGAGGTCACAATTTTTATTTGATTTTGATGAAACTTTAAATTTATGTATATTTTACAAAGATTCTGGTTCCTTTCGATAATCGAGCATATCTGAACTTGCTTCATAATTGACCCCTGATTGTTTGAAAACCACATTTTTAGCTTGTGGATCCGCAAGAAGTCACAATTTGTATTCAATTTTAAAAGAATGTTTAAATATATTACCGTTAGGCATCAAAGAAGGTTGAGTTCAAATTTCGTAATAATCTGACCCAAACTGCCAGTCAAAATGGCCGCTCCTTGTACGCAAAAAGTGTAAAAGTATGTCATACCAAGGTTGTGGACCCTCTAGAAGTCACAATTGTTATCAGATTTTGATGAAACTTAAAATGTATCTTTATTTGCGCATATCAGACTGTAACTTCCTGGATTAAGGTCCCTGACTACGAAAAATCAGGTTTTTTGTCCCTCGCCTTTAGAAGAAAGCAGGGGACTATTAAATGTGTTTGTCTGTCTGTCTGTCTGTCCGTCCGTCTCTCCGTCCATTACACTTTTTGGGACAAAATACATTGTAACTCTCTTCCTAATTGAGCTAGAATGTTCAAACTTGGTGTAGGTGTTTATTTTGTTAATGCCTTGATGGAGTTTGAAGATGAGTATTTTCTGCTTAGGGTAAGCAGAGATAAGCAATTTGATTGGTTGATGCTTTGAACACAATTTGATTGGTTGATGCTTTGGGACACAAAACTTTAGTTCTAATTAAGTGAGAGTGATGAAACTTGTTGTATAGATTCATTACATCAATATTCAATACCTGGACTAAGTTCGATAATGAGCATTTTCTGCTCAGGGTAAGCAGAGCGATAAGCAATTTGATTGGTCGAGACTTTGGAACACAATAACTCTCATTCTAATCGAGTTAGAATGTTCACACTTGGTGTAGGTGTGTATTAGGTGAATGTTCAAAGATGAGAATTTTCTGCTTAGGGTAAGCAGAGATAAGCAATTTGATTGGTTGATGCTTTGGGACACGATAACTTTAGTTCTAATTAAGTAAGAGTGAGGACACTTGGTGTATAGGTTTATTACATCAATACATTGACTAAGTTCGATAATGAACATTTTCTGCTGAGGGTTAAAGCAGAGCGATAAGCAATTTGATTGGTCGAGATTTTGGAACACAGTAACTCTCCTTTAATTGAGGTAGAATATTCAAACTTGGTGTAGGCGTTCATTAGGTGAATGCCTTGATTGAGTTCGATGATGACCATTGTCTGCTTATGGTAAGCAGAGATAAGCAATCTGATTGGTTGATGCTTTGAGGCACGATAACTTTGGTTATAATGAAGTGAGAGTGATGAAACTCCGAATATAGATTCATTATATCATTACCTTGACTAAGTTCGATGGTGAGAATTTTCTGCTTAGGCTAAGGAGCGGTAAGCAATTTGATTGTTCAAGACTACACTTTGGAACATAACAACTCTGCTTTTAATTGAGGTAGAATGTTTAAACTTAATGTAGATGTTCATTAGGTGAATCTCTTGACTGAGTTAAATGATTAACATTTCGAGCTAAAGCTAAGCAGAGCTAAGCAATTTCATTGGTCGATGCTTTGGGACAAGATAATCTTGATTCTATCTGATAGGGAGTGATGAAACTTAGGGTATAGTTTGATTGCTCAATACTTTTGAAAAAAATAAATGTGTGATTAATTAATGTGTCATCTATTTATTTTGGGATTTCGGCGAGGGACATCAGTCTCACTGTTGGCTTGTTAGCTTGTGGATTCTCTAGAGGTCACAATTTTTTATCCGATTTTATAAAAAGTTTAAATAATATACTCTTCAAAAAAAGTAGGGGATATTGAAATGCAAATAAATACCTATGCTGGTTGTGATATGATAAATAGTCATGGACACTTGACAGGCATTGAGAGTATGTTCACAGATGAAGAACTTATCGCCCCAACAGAACCACTGAGCTGCATGTGCGACGTGCAATAGCGCCATACCGCGTGGAAGGGGTTCATTGTCAAATTTGACACTTCAAGGAAGGGTTGATGAAAACTGCTGCGTCTTGCTTTATTCTATCCATGTTTGCTTTCCTATCGGTTCTTGCATAAGATTTACTGTTTAGCGTATCTTTGCTTTAGTGTGTTAGGTTTAACTTGCAATGAGACGCAGGGATCGAATTTGACGGACGCAAACACGCAAAATGCGTGTTGATTTTGTAGACTGTGTGTTACAAAATATGTTGCACGGAAAAAAGTGCGTGTAACATTTTTTTGCTTATTGTTACTGAATAACATGATTTCTTCTTTTACGCAAAATCAAGACCATAATTATGACCAAAAACGGAAATTCTATTGATTATTTTCCTTCCTTGCAAAATGTAAACAGTGGAAGATAAAAATGACAGATCGCCCTGCCCTATACCTTTCCCAACCATGAGTGACTGGGAGGCTTTTTGTGAAGGAGTTGATCCTTTCCTCGAACTAGAGGCCTGGCGAATTTTTTGCACATTGAATTGTGGTGATTTGGCAGAATCGATCCTCAGTAAAGATGACTGGGTATTTTTACAACTTTTCAATCGTGAGCTCCTTGTAGATTTCAAAAAAGACTTTCCAAGAGCCACTTTTCAAAGTATGAGAAATAGTAGCATAATTCTTTGCCTTTAAACTCAGGGCAGAAAGTGAAAACCTGGAGGAATTCCCAATCTTTTTAGCTGTGGCACCCCTACTGCAAAAAACTAATAAAAAATTTAGCGCATACACCCCCATAACCCAATAGAATTATTCCCAAAGCCCTCATTAGTTTTAAAAAAACCCCTTAAACTATAGAGTCAAACGGGTTTGGAGCCTTGAGTCTATGCAGATATGCATTGTAACGACAGCAATTTTCTTAGCCGAAATCTTTGCACAATTTTTGGAATAATCAACTCCATCTGTGACGTCACATGTGCTCCGGACCCCATCGACTATGCATAACAATTTTATTAGTTGCTATCTCTCATTAATACGCATAATGTTGACATTAATTATGCTCAGAGCTGCATACATGATCAATTGCATTGGGGAAAATTTCAAAGTAATCAGATGTAAAAATGGCTAAATATAGAGCATACGGAATGTTTGAATATATTGTAACGATTGGGTAAACGGATAGTAAAATGATTCAGATAACCCTTATTTTGTATCCGTTAACGAATTTCCGAATAGTAGTTTCAACACTAATTTATACACCGTGTTTACTCCTATATAATGGATTCGATTGACTTTAGATTGATACAGAGAGTTTAAGGTCTTAAGACCAGGGCTGTCGGTAATTTTTCACAGTTGATTTGCAGCGCTGCTAATCAAAAAGTCCAATTTTGCCAAATTTGATTAGCAAATTTAAAAATTGATTAGCAGTTTTTCAGTTTCAACGTAAAACACCAAAATAAAAAGATATTACTTTAATTCATAACAAATATGATTAGATTCCATTCTGACTATTTTTAGATTTTTTTAGCACTGCCACAAGTAGGCTACTTGTGACAGTTTGTGAATGTGATGTAGACATTTAGTTAGGTCTTACGTCTGAAGCCAATTCTTGACAGTGACTTCTGAAGCCTCACTCATTTTAGAAATCTTCGTTAGAAAACAATTTCGTCTTCTTTTTATCGTGTCGGGCGCACCTCGATTAACTAGACACACGCGATATAAACAATAATATTTTACGGGAATTTTTACTTTGATTTATCATTTTACAATACGTTAGCATGTATTTATTTTTTTTGTCCCCCGCCTTTCGAAGAAAGCAGGGGACTATTAAAATGGGTTCGTCCGTCTGTCTGTCCGTCTGTCTGTCCGTCTGTCCGTCCGTCTGTCTGTCCGTCACACTTTTTGGGACACAATAACTCTCTTCCTAATTGAGCTAGAATGTTCAAACTTGGTGTATGTGTTTATTAGGTCAATGCCTTGATGGAGTTCGAAGATGAGCATTTTCCGCTTAGGGTAAGCAGAGATAAGCAATTTGATTGGTTGATGCTTTGGGACACGATAACTTTAGTTCTAATTAAGTGAGATTGATGAAACTTGGTGTATAGTTTCATTACAGTAATACCTTGACTAAGTTTGATAATGAGCATTTTCTGCTCAGGGTAAGCAGAGCGATACGCAATTTGATTTTTATATGTGTCCTCTAATTATTTTCCTATTTCGGCGGGGGACATCAGCCTCACTGTTGGCTTGTTATATTTTATTTAGCATGTATTTATTTTTTTATATTTTATTTACAATGCGTGGGGGATACACTGGATTTATTTTTTTCAAAATGAATATGATAATACAGTGACCGCCCTAGACATTCGCCAATTCGCCAATGGCGACAATTATTTTTATTGGCGAATAAAGTGATGATACTGGCGAAAAATTTGGCGAATGAATTTTAGAGAGTGTTATTTCGTAAATCTGCTAATATTAAACTTGAAATCGTCTCGTTAAACGCTTCTTTCGATCGACTCGATGGAGTGTCTATTTTTAGTACATTAATTACTCTAGTCTCAATCTTACAAGTCGCAAATCAGTCAATGTTACAATATTACGCATTAAAACGACCGAAAGATCGAGTCTGGAGACTATAAAACACAGTTACGCCCCTTTTGTGTGGCACTGCGTTGTTTACATTCGCTTCACTACAAGTTTTCTTTACTTACGCAGCAAATAAATAAAACGCACATTAATGACAACTAATACTAGTAAACCCAAAATAAGGATAGATTCCTTTTTCCTTCCTACGACTACTGTTAGTCCAGAATCTACTTCCGTGAGTGAGCGTGTCATCTCGGACGCAAGTCCTTCGTTGGCTTCATCAACATGTGGACAAAAATTAGACCTTTAACCGAGACCGTCGAGCTAACCCTCAATGACCTCATGCTTATAAAAATGGATGGACCGGACATAAATTTCAAATCAGCGGTGTCTTAAAAAGAATCGTCGTGTCTTTTCTGTTATGACGATGAAGTAAATTAAATCATGTGACTGTGAAGTACGTCCTATAAACATTTTTTTGTTATCTGCATTCATTCTCTCAATAATGTGAACTTTTGCATGAACAAGGAGATAAAATAATATTCTTGTGTACTATATATAGAGGATATTTGTCGTTTTAGAGTGAATAACATATTTTATTTCATCGAGAAGCAAGAAAACTTATATTTTCACGAATGCGTAGCATGAGTGAAAACATAAACGTTTTCTTGCTTAGAGATGAAATAAAATATGTTATTCACGACAAAACGACAAATGTTCTATTTATTTTATGATTTTACAATCATTTTAGGTAAAAACAACTAGCCAGTGGAATAACACTTTTATTTCACTGATAAAACGCGATATTCCACTACTGATCATAAAATAAAAGTACATATTAAACATTTATTTTGTCCGCGATATCACCTCGGTGGAAGCGGACGTAAAATACAACAAACACACACACACATTTATTTTCATTTTTAATTAACAAACATATGAATAAAAATGATATAAAATATTTGGCTAAAACTTTCTGAATTGGCTAATAAAATTTTGAATTGGCTAAAAATTTGGCTAAAGGTTTTAAGAGCCTAGGGCGGTCACTGATAATATGTAACAGGCATTGCCTGAGTAGAGCGAAGCTGATTATTGTCAAATATAAAACCTTCATAATTAATTTTCTCAAGTGATACAAAAAATGTTAAATAATTTAGTTTTTCCAAATTGATTTTCATTTAGATCTAAATTGTATACATTAATTTTGTTTTTTAAGAAAGAACAAAAAAGTGTGAGAATTATTTTCATTGACGTCAAAAATATGTGACGTCATTGATTAGACGCGTCATAGAAATAGTTCTATGAGGCGCGTAATCTCGCTTGGGTGAGATTTGGTGGATAGAATTATTTTTGTTAGTTACGTGATCTTGCTTGGACGAGATTTGGTAAGTTGACATGCGCATTGCCTGTTTTGCCCAGTGTATCCGGTTCCGGCTGAATTTTTTTTTAATCAACAGTCTGTGGGTGACATTTTCAATTACGCTCCTGTGTTATCGGAAAAGAGCTTTGCTCAAGCACCGCACTTCGCGGTGCTTTAGAGCTTCGCTCTATATAATTACTTGATGTCTCGCAACGTGAGTGGTACTACTTGATTCCCTATTTCCGGTTTAATAGTCCCTATTCATAGAGTTATGTCCCTGTGTTATATATTATTGTGTCTGGGTAGTTCGAGAAGAAAATGTCACACGGAGAATTGAGTTTTGTTTATAAAATTTTATTCAACATTTTATACACATTGAAAGTGTTGAGTAAGCCTTCTAGTCTTCAAAATGTGGATTATTCTTGTGCCAATATCCAAAATGACAGGCATATTAATGATTCGCAGTATCTGCGAATCAAAAACGTTAGATTTTAATTTTTGGTTAGCAACGGACAAAATATATATCGCAAATTGCGCTATGATACTGGTTGTCGGCAGTCCTGCTTGAGACGAACAAGTATATTGATATTAAATGTTTTGTATACTAAACGTTAGCATCGGCCAAACAAATTCTAAAAATTATCTGATAATTAAGGAGTTGTAACTCTTAACAGATTTGCATGTATTATAAATGTTACACAACTTACAAAAGTGAAAATATGCGACAACTCTTGTTGACTGCTCCGACGATTTAGCTGCTGTGGGCGTATGTATCATTGCCTGGCAACCTATCTTTGCTGATGTAAATAACTTTCTAAAATTATATGTTAAAATGTGGAGGAATTCAAACATCCCAAAAATGTCATTTGAATATTTTATTCGGCAAACAGAAAGTGTGTTGGTCTTAGTTAGACTAACAGTCAAATGTTAATTTTGAACACTGGACAATCAGGTGTTAATTTTGGAACATGAGACAACAAAGCAGCCATTTAATTCTTGTATGAAATAATGTTGAAATTGATTATTACAGGAGATCAGCCATGATACAAGAAGATTTCGATTTGCTCTTCCTTCACCACAACATATACTTGGATTACCAGTTGGTAAGATATTTATTGTGATTAATCAGTATTCATATCCTGTACACGTAGAAAAAAAATTCAGAATATAGTTTGACTTGAACCAGGGTTGGAAACTGAAGGTGAAATGAAATGGGGGTTTAACGTCTTACTGTTCTGCACTGACTGGACTAATGAAGACAGGGAAATGACATTGTAAATTGTGTTTACCTCCCTTGGAACAGACGTCACAGACAAAGCATTGGAAGTTATAAAAACATACTTTAGGCCATACAAAAAAAAAAATATTATGGTTCTCTGAAAATCCTTCCCATGCGGGAGGGAGGTTTTTATTTTTGTGTTTTAATATTATCAAAGGCTACTTGACTTGTCACAAACATCACATTTCAAGGCACTACATTTATCTCATATAGTAATGTCTTATTATCCAGTACCATTTATCAGGGTTTGTACTCAATAACTGATCGTAGAGTACACTTTTGATTTCAAATTTCCTGTTTCAGGGGAAATGGTGATTAACGATAATTACTTTTTTTAAAAATAAAAATGGGTCATGAATCCATTTTAACTGATACAGGACAGGGTATATGATAAGAAAAATAAATTGATTAGCACTTATTGGATATTTACAGAAAAAGTGCTAATCAATCTGAAAATTGCCAGCAGTTTCTCTTGATTGAATAGCAAATATTTAAATTTCATGGTATTGTATTAAACGATTTCTGCAGGCCATAATTTCTACCGGTATGGCCTACAATTGGCACACCTCGCAATTTTTCAGATTCAATTTCGGTAGAGTTCTCAAATTTACGTTCATAATATTCCTAGAAAATTAGGTGTTTTCATAATACGATAGAGTAAAAGCGTGCCGACCCTACGACGGTAGGCTACCTGCTTCACATTTACGCCAGTAATAGTCCTTCAAAATTACATGTCTTTCTTTATATGGCAGAAAATGAAAGCAAAATATCTCATTAAAATACAGATCTATATTTTGTTTCGTTTTTTTATACTTTCGATGGCCTACATTACAAAAAGATCTGACAAGTTATAGCGATAGGTCACGTCGGGGTCAAAAGACCGACTTTTGACCTATGACGTCAGACATTTGATTAACCAATCAGCATTGATTAGTGGATTACCTACAGTTCCGGTCAAAAAAGGTCAAACACTCGATTCGACAGACCATTTGATTGGCTGACCCCTCATTTCAAGCAGAACACGAGATTCGACAGACCATTTGATTGGCTGACCCCTCATTTCAAGCAGAACACGAGTTAAATAAGTCTGCCAGATCCAAGTGTAGTAATGACAAGTAAAACGTAATTTTGAACTATAAAAATGAAACGAAATAGGATCTGTGTTTTAACCAGATTGGTCGAAACATTGATTGTCTTCATTACAAAACGATATTTAAAAATTCCACTGTAGCAAAAAGCATCGACACCCGTATGCAATACATGCATTGTCGCTACCTTTTTGTTATTTGTCCACGTGGCCCTTTTTCCCGTCAAAATGAACCATGGCCATTTTAGTCGCAAAGTAGTTTGTTAAACGAATAAAAATTAAACTGATGTGTATAGCTAATAACAGTGCACGATTCGGGTGGATACATTTTTCATATTATAGCCTACGGAATATTTTGTTGTTCAGTAAATGGAAAATGATTAAAATGTTGTATGATGGCAAATAGGTTGCCAGATGGGAACACGTGGTCAATTCTTACGATCGGAAATGGTTACAGATAAAAAATTATTGTTTTATGAATAATTATCAAGCTTGTATATTTACGGGATTATCAAATAGTCTGTACTTGTTACTTTGTTAGATCGTAAACTGAATGACTGTTACAATGTTAGCTTGCAATTAGTTTATTGACTAATCTTTGACTACTTTTAATCTTGTCGACCGACATGAAGGTGATTAAAATGTCCGTACGCAGTGGAACGGTAAATAATGTTTGTTCAACATTTTTTCACCCCAAATTTATTTAGGACAAGAATTTATTAACTTTCTGTTAATCAAATTAATATTTGATTCGCACTTACGTCGTTTTTGTTTAGCAAACTGCGATGCGACACTGGTTATCATATTCCCTGATACAGGAGTATCTGAAAACAAGAATAATTCGTAATGTAATAAAAAGATTAAAATAGCATTAAGATATCTGTGTAACTATTTTCAGGGATGTTCCCATATAAATATTAATGCTGGGAAGTAATCTTGGGCAAGGGGCTGGTAGCTGTCACCTTCTGAAATAATAGCAGGGGGTTGGTTGGGGTAGGCGGTATTCGATGAAGCTGGATAATCTCTTGGTTCAGTTTTGTCGTTTTCTTATGTTAGCTTTTTATATAATAAATGGAAAGAGATTTGCCAGTTCTTCATTGTGAAAATTCTGCCATAGTTCATACTATGAAGAAAAATTACAACGTTTTACCATGATGAAATGTTATGGATATCTAGTCTAGTTTCGATCACTGGACAAAATGCTGTGCACTGCAGGTGATATGTGAACAGGGCTTATGTACAGTTTTATACTTACCGGGTACATACAAATTTATGTTGTTTCGAAGTTTGTACTTCCATAAATACTTATTCTTGCACCATTTTGTGGAACAAGGCCCAGGAATACATTGATTTTCAGCGATTTTCGATAATTACTGCTCGAGTTATGGCCCTTGATCACTTCAAAAAATCTTGTGGACGCTCTGGAGGTCAATGTTAATATCCGATTGACTTTAAATTTATACACAGTGTTTAAGGTCATGAGACGAAGAAGCCTATTGATTTTCAACGAATTTCGATAATTACTGCCAGAGTTATGGCCCTTGATCACTTTGAAAAATCTTGTGGACGCTCTAGAGGCTAAAGTTATCATCCGATTGATTTCAGATTGATACACAGACTTTAAGGTCTTGAGACGAACAAGTATATTGATTTTCAATGAATCTTTATGACTTGAACAGCTAAATCCATGATGTTAAAAGTTTCATATACTAAACGTTAGCATGGGGCAGAACTTTATAAAAACCAAACAAATTCTAATGGTTTTCTGATAATTACTTAATGAGTTGTTACTCTTAATCAGATTTTAATGTATTACAGGTATAAATGTTTCATTACAGAAAAAAGTAAAAATATGCGACAACTCTTGTTGACTGCCCGGACTATATAGCTGCCGTGGGCGTATGTTTTGTTGCCTGGCAACCTATCTTTGCTCTTTAAATTAAGGGGGGTTGGATGTCCGAATAGTTAGCGTGTGCACGCTGTATCATAAGGTCTGTCATTGAGTCAACTGGCGTGGTTTCGATTTCCCGGTTGTACGTGACAAGGAGTAGGGATGCTTGTCCAACCTCGTGGGTTTTCCCGGTCCTCCAATTTCCTCCCACTGGCATCTGCTAAAGACCACTACATGCGAGCGAATTATTGAAATAAAATTGAACCATATGTTAGTCCCAAAAGGGCCTTGTTTGTGTCGAGTGGACGTTAAACCCCATTTCTCTCTCTCTCTTTAAAGTAGTGATAGCATTATATTATATCTTTAACAAATTATTGGGTTTTATTTTGGTAGAGAAGTGATCTAACGTACTAAAATAATGAGTGACGGGTGTGGACACATAAAAAGAGTTATAACTTGGTAAACATTTAATTCTGGGTTAATAACAAAATAACATGTGTGACACTTCTGGTGGTATGTTTCCACTGTCCATATAAGTTATTAGTCTAATTAACCAATCATAATTAATTACGTAATATTTGACCAATTAGATAATTGAAAGTCCAAACCCAAAGCTACAAAACTATCATATCTCTGCGCATTCGTCAGACAGCCGCTAAATTCCAGAGTGAGAAGATGTAGCAATTTCTATCAGCAGACTCCCAGCGAGTGGGTGGAATGGGATTGAGAGAATGACTTCATTGTAATCTATGCTTATGTAACTAGTGCTTGATATATAAAATGTGAAAACAAACTGATGCATTGTTATTCGTGGTAAGACAAACGTCTTAACTAATAAGAAGATAACTGTCTAACGGCAAGGAGATAGTAAGAAGAAAATTAAAAACGTGAAAAGGAGGCCAAAGAAGACAATTAAAAATACTAGATGATCACAAGGCTATTAAGAATTAAGATATGTAATAAGAAGAGAGTGCATAGGTCATATGTAGGATGTGATGACCAGATTTGCTTGGCCCACTTTCCACGTCTGACAAACGACCCATGGTGCTACTGTATTTGGCATTAATTTATTTTATTAATGTATTTTATAGGTCAACATATTTATCTAACAGTACGTATTGATGGACAGACAGTAATAAGACCTTATACTCCAGTCTCTAGTGATGATGATAAGGGATTTATGGATCTCGTTGTTAAGGTATATAATTTAACTGATTAAGTTATATGTTTAAAACATACTAACATTGCTTTATAGTCACATTTGTGTAATTGAGGACTTCAACTTTATGGAGTATAAACTAAATAAAAATTGACAACAATGAAAACTACAGACTGCAATAGCAATTTATTTTAAAGCAAAGTGATGGCACTTTGAAAGAAAATGTACAATGAAATATATTTTCAATACTTAAATGTAATTTTTTTTCCCCAATTGCATGTAGAAATTGTATTAGGTAGGATTGGCATTAATGAATTTTAAACAATAATTTTTACAGATTTACTTTAAAAATGTACATCCTAAGTTCCCTAATGGTGGCAAACTATCTCAGTATCTAGAGAATATGGCCATTGGTGATTATATTGATGTCCGAGGTCCTAATGGACTTCTTAAATATGAAGGCAAAGGTAATTGATTTTTCTTCATCTAAAGCTTAAGTTTTCATTATTCTACATTTTTGTAAAAGATATCTCACATACAGTATACATGTAGAAAGCATTCTTAATTTTCCATGAAAAAACCTGGGTGTTAATTGATAGCTGTACTACTATTACTATAGGTGTATTTAAGATTAAACCGGAGAAAAAAGCAGAGCCTGAAACAAAAGTTGCAAAGAAAATTGGTATGATTGCTGGTGGAACTGGTAAGATTTTGTTTTTGCTCTCAGATGGTGAATAGTTAATCCCCCTTACCCTAGTAAATAAAAGTCCATAAAGGGTCCTTTTAAAAATGCTTTATGTAAGAGCTAAATCTGCCTAAAGCAAATCTTTCGTTTGGCCTCAAATGTTATATAAAGCATTAATTAGACATTTATTCACATGCCAAGCCCATGTTCAACTTTGTAGACTATCGGATGGTTTTGATTTTCAATGGATTTAAACACGATTGCAAGTGAATAATGTAATAAATAAAACAAATGGATAATCAAGACTTTGTTTATTATCGTAAAAACAGTAGCAATGACAATCGAAACTGCATGTACACTGTTTATCAAATGGCCATAACTCTGTGTACATGAAGTAATTTGACTGAAATACTCCCTTTTTGTCCCCGGCTTTCGAAGAAAGCAGGAGACTATTAAAATGGGTTTGTCTGTCCGTCACACTTTTTGGGACACAATAACTCTTTTTCTAATTGAGCTAGAATGTTCAAACTTGGTGTAGTTGTTTATTAGGTCAATACATTGATGGAGTTTGAAGATGAGCATTTTCTGCTTAGGGTAAGCAGAGATAAGCAATTTGATTGGTTGAAGCTTTGGGACACGATAACTTTAGTTCTAATTGAGTGAGAGTGATGAAACTTGGGTGTACAGTTTCATTACATCAATACCTTGACTAAGTTCGATAAGGAGCATTTTCTGCTCAGGGAAAGCAGATCGATAAGCTATTTGATTAGCCGAGACTTTGGAACACAGAGATAAGTAATTTGATTGGTTGATGCTTTGGGGCACGATAACTTGGGTTATAATTAAGTGAGAGTGATGAAACTCTGTCTATTGATTCATTCTGCTTAGGCTAAGGAGCAATAACCAATTTGATTGGTCAAGACTTTGGAACATAACAACTCTGCTTATAATTGAGGTAGAATGTTTAAACTTGATGTAGATGTTCACTAGGTGAATGTCTTGACTGAGTTCAATGATTACCATTTCGAGCTAAAGCTACGCAGAGCTAATCAATTCCATTGGTCGATGCTTTGGGACAAGATAATCTTGATTCTATCTGATAGAGAGTGATGAAACTTAGTGTATAGTTTGATTGCTCGATACTTTTGAAAAAAATAATGTGGGATTAATTAATATGTGTCATCTATTTATTTTGGGATTTTGGCGGGGGACATCAGCCTCACTGTTGGCTTGTCATTATCTTTTTTTTAACAATTATAGTTGCTGTTTATCTAAATCTTGCATAAATGCATCCTTAACTAAAACGATGCTTGATGATTGAATTAAATGACTTTTAATATTTAAAGGTATAACACCAATGTTGCAGTTAGTTAGACAAGTATTTAAAGATCCAGAAGACAAAACTGAACTTTATCTTCTCTTCGCTAACCAGGTAAATAATAATTGATAGCTAATTAAGTTTCTATGTTTATTTGTTAAACTGAAGTTTCTAATATCACAACAAATCTACTGAGTGGTTAACATGATGTTATTTATAAATGACGCTAAACAGACACGCATTCAAATTTTAGTGCTTGTATCCAGATTTAAAATATTTTTACACTTAGCTAATCCACTAATACTGAGAATGATATTTACATTATGGTGTATTTATAATATTATATTATTTACAAACTAAGATAGATATTTACATTATGGTGGATTTATGATAATTATAATGGATTTATGATATTTTCAGACAGAGAATGATATTTTATTACGACCTGAATTAGAAGACATACAACAAAGTCATCCTAATCGTTTTCATCTGAACTTCACATTAGATCGTCCTGAAGCAGGTAAATACAATGTATTTTAAACACCAATCAGCATTATAAATTTGGTATAGCGTGTTATCCATACATTCAGTTAAAGTAAGCTTTTACATAGTAGAGTAGTTGTAGGGCAATTCAGTAAAAATTATATTTTACAGAAATTATTCCATTATCTTTGGAGTTTTTGCACTAATTTCTTTCATAATCATTTAATATCAAGTCTTTGTTTAAAAACTTGTAAAAATCGTTTAACATTACCAAAGTTCATCTAATTTGTACTTGTGTCCAGTTTAAAGCTGACCATTCAATTTTGATAATGAGTGTCCAATTTTACAAGTTTTTAATTTCTTGATTACTGTTAAAAAATGAACAATCCAATGGATTATTGATGTATAATGATTAATTTTTGAACAGTGGTCAGGAAATTAAACACATGTAAATTGGACACTCGTTATCAAAATTAATCAGTTGGTTTTAAACTGGACACAAGTACAAATTAGATGATTTTTTTGTGATTTTAAATGATTTTTATGAGTTTTTAAACAAAGATTTGATATTAAACGAGTGTGAAAGAAATTAGTGCTAGATACACAAGATTAAATGATACCTGGGTTACAGATTCAGGCTTTGTCCAGCACAAAACCTCTGGTGCCTGTAATTTTGTCCGGCACTGATATGTCGTTTTTGGTGATTTTATTAATACATGCCCAGCATTAAGTTGAAAATGTCAGGTACTATTTCATTAGTGCCTGACATTTTGTCAGGTACATCTATAAAAGCGTTATTTCCAGGCCTGCAAGACACTGTTGCCATTGCAAGCCATTGCTAAGAAAAATAGTCTGTTTTGACGTGCTTGAATCTGGGGATGCAGTTGATATTAAATTTGCCAGACAGTTAAAGTTATCCAGTCTTGATCGATCATACGACTGAATAGCATATTTTCTACTTGGCATTTAACTGGTTCAATTAGAAATCATTTGATTGTAGTCCTGTTTTTAAGGGGCAAATATATTATGCTGAAGCTTTACAAAAACTAAATGGACTCGCAAGTTTTGTGTGACTGACTGACTTATTTTGATCTACCATTTCCTGCAACTGATTTGGATAGTCTGAGCTTATTTTCAAGCCTTATCACCTGAAACGGCCAATGGAAGACTCCAAAAAGTAAAGAAGTGTTATTTTTTTTATTATAAAATTAGTAATCTATAAGATTGAAAACAAAAACAATGGTAGATTATCTCTTATGTTTGAGAATAGCAATTAAATATATTTTGAAACACTACAGATGAATAAAGATGGCAGTGTGAAATCAATTGAAACTAATTACAAATACTTACACTTGGATTGATTGATTTGAATAATATTTGGTAATATATTTATCTCAAATTACATAAATCATACCTCTTACTACACTTAATCGTAAACATGATATGGTTCCCTTCCCCAAATTCCATTAAATTACCATAAAAATATTTGTTTTTCCTTTTTGTATAGGTATATTGATGTTTATTGTTGTTATTTTGATACGCCCACATTGAAATGTGGTCTTATATTTTGTCGCCCCTGTCCGTGGACACTCTAGAGGCTAAAGTTAATATCTGATTGACTTTAAATTTATACACAGTGGTTAAGGTCATGAGACGAAGAATCCTATTGCCTATTGAATTTCAGCGATTTCCGATATTTACTGCCAGAGTTATGGCCCTTATCACTTTGAAATATTTTGTGGACACTCTAGAGTGTTAATATCCAATTGACTTTAAATTTATACTGTGTTTAAGGTCATGAGATGAAGGATCCTAGTCATTTTCAACAATTTCCGATAATTACTACCAGAGTTATGGCCCCTTGATTACTTTGAAAAATTTTGTCGATTCTCTAGAGCCTAAAGTTGATATAAATTTTTCAAGGTCATAAAACAATGATTTCTGATAATTACTTATTGGGTTATTACTTGTAATAAGATTTTCATGTGTTGTAAACATTCTCCTTACTGACAAAAGAAAAAATATGCGACAACCCTTGTTGACTGCCCAGACGACTTAGCTGCTATGGGTGTATTTTTGGTTGCCTGGCAACCTATCTTATTATTTATAGTAATGATGCATGATTTGCATTTTCGGAAAAATATAAATTTTCTTGCGCTTAATCTATGCTAAGATTGATTTAACATTTAATTAAGAAAACCAGTCCAAATACCAATGCTAGATATTCTTCTGACTTGGATTCAGTTGAATTTAATGCATGCTTATCAATTTGGTTCATGGCAAATAAAGATGGCAACCATCTTGTTACTAAGGGGATGCTCGATTGAACGTTTCGGAATTGAATTCTGTAAAACCCCAAAATAGTGACAATCAAGTGGAAATGGTATTTGGAACTAGAACGCATGCGCCGGCTGCATGAGAAAATATCTCAACCAACCATAATGCTGAAACATATTTATTAGGTTTAATTACGTCACGATTTTGCTCACACCACCTCCGTTGTCGGGACTGACAGAATTGCGACAGGACAGAATTCTGTGTCACTCGATATTGCAATTCCGTCAATTCGCAACGTTCCGGTCTGACAATCAAGCATCTGCATAGAGAGCAGCATAGATTGCTGGAATGTTCAATTTGTCATATCTTTGTAAATACTAAAGGGAATTGACCATTTTATTACTGATATTTCTATTAGTGATTAAACTTTCACAATATTGTAGTTTGAAAGGGATTCTATTGTGTTAAAATCATGCATCACATCACTAAAATCAAAGTATAATTTTTTTTTATATAAATGGAAACATCAGTATAAAGCTGTAAAAAATTTATAATATGATGGTATGAGAAAACGTCAGTAAGATATAAAGGCTTATATAAATATGTGTGTGCTGTCGTTAGATCTCCTGTGATGCTTATTACACAATGAAAACCGCTTTACATTAAGATAGAACATATTTTGGACTTTTGAAATGATATTATCTATAAACAATCTGTGCCTTTAGGGGTATCTTCTCATTTATATAAAATTGGTTTAACTGTCATTTTTCTAAATTAGTGGATGATGAAAAATATAATAAAAGTGTGTTTCTTTTGATCAGACATTAAGCATTAAGGATAGAGTATTAGTTGAATTATCTGTCAGTATACTAGATTGTGGGTTATTTGCCCAGATTATCTGAATGTACCCCAAATAAAACAATACAGTATCATGAGAAAACTAATTTCCACAACTTCCCGTCAAATAAAGACAGTTCGTTCATCCGCCTATCCATCACCCTTGTTTGGACACAACTCAGCTTCTAATCAAGGTAGAATTTCAAACTTTGTATATATTATGTTCATTTGTCTTGGCAGAGTTTTATGATAAAGAGGAGCCGAGATAAGCAGTTTGATTTTTCAAGACATTTGTGACACAATAACTCTGCTTCTAATTTGGGGAGAGTTATGAAACTTGGTGTGGAGTTTCATTATGTTAATACCTTGACTCTAGTTCGATAATAAGTATTTTCAGCTCAAGTTAAGCAGAATGGTAAACGAATTGATTACTTGATGCTTTATAAAAAGATAATGAATGAGTGTCATCTATTTATTTTGGGATTGAGGTGGGGGACTGGAGCCTCGCTGTTGGCCTGTTTGATTTAAAATATTTGTTTACTAACAAGTTTAAATGCTGTATTTATTTCTAGGATGGAAGCATTTCAAGGGATTTGTAGATTCAGATATGATTAAGAAGAGCCTACCACCTCCTGGAAATGACAGTCTAATAGTTATGTGTGGGCCACCACCAATGATCAACTTCGCTTGTATCCCAAATCTAGACAAACTGGGTTATCCACCTACTACTCGTTTTGCTTATTAAATTTCATGTTTTGAAGCTTATATTTGCTTGTTAATGATAAGTAAATAATAAAATAAAAACTGTCTAGTTTATAAATTGATATTAAAAAATGTCATTATTCTTAAGTATTAGATTGGGTTGATTATGGAAACATGAACAAATAAAACGAGGAATACAACCAGCTCTGTTTAATAAATAACATTTATGTTTGTTTTTATAGTCACTTTAAACAGTGAATATATTTCTTAATGATGATATAATGACCTTTAGAAATAATATAATGATTAAGTATTTATAGATATATCATTGATTTGTATGTTATTTTCTCAAATACAGTTTATAGATTTCATTGATTAATTATCCTTTATTACATTTCCACATTACATTTCTTAATACAAGAACATGTATTCACCCGAAAGAGCCTTTTATACTTCTTGCTTCATAAAGCCAATCACATTCTTGCATAATTTAAAATGGTGTTCATTAAAATGTGTCTGTAACAAATTGTAATTGATAATTATTTGAAGGAAAACAGTACAAGATTTAGATGTAAAAAGATAAAGGTTGTTATTGATTACTGAGTGTTATCAAAAACATAATAACACCATGCTTCATTAAAGCTAGAAAATGATGGAAAAAAACAAGCACATGTAGGTGTGACATATATAATACATGATGAATAGGGTATTATGACATTAAAAGTGTTTTTTTTATGTTATTTTTTTTACATTTAGATCAGACACAGCTACAAGATTTCTAAAATATTATCATGTCAAAAATATGTCGAAAAGATGTGGGTCATGTTTAATATGGTAGATAAACCAAATGGTAGATAACAAGTGAAGTTGGTATTGAATTAAACTCCTTTTCCTCCCGTGATTCTGTCAAGTTATAAACCTATAACGGTAAATCTCTTTGATCTTTGGTTCATATTCTATGCCTGGAATAAATTGGGGTCTGAAAGTCGGGGGCGGCTTTGAATATATACAGGGGAATTTGGAGTTATTCTTCTGAAGTTTTTCTTAAAACCTGCAATGGGTTATTCTTCCTGGGTAGATTTCTATTTTCCATAAGAAAACATGTAATTTGTATATTAGTAACCCACAGGTCCAAAATAGGCATCTTTCGTGATACAAAATTGTGCTCTTAATCATTCTGTATCATTGTCTGGTTTACATATATAATTATTTATTATTATAAAATGGTTATTGGGTGCATTTTTAGATAGGATGTTATATATAATAACTTCTGGAAATGGGTGGAGGTATTTTATGATTAAATGTGAATGGCCTTTTGAGATGAATGAGTGATGGTGGTTTCCACTTTTTCTACAAATCTTCTTTGATTGGCATTATTTATATATAATTAGTTGATGAACATATAAACACAAGGTACAATATTATGGATACACATACAATTACTGAGTTTAGTCTTTATCATGCAAATTGTACCTTGTGTTAAACTACAAATACTTATTATATTTTTCATATTATGTATACTTTTTCATTGATACTTGCAGTCATTCTGATTTGTTGTCTTTTGCCCATGTCATTGACTTGAAAAATGACATTGTATAATTACTAGATGTAAAACATCATTCAAATTGTTTATAATGAAGAATTATAAAGAAAAGTTGATAGTGCTAATATTGTTATTTCCCTGTGTTTAAATTAAATATGCCTTTCCTAGTTTTTATACGCCCACATTGAAATGTGGTTGTATATTGTCTTCGCCCCCGTCCACCCGTCCGGCATCCACAATTGCTTGTGGACGCCCTAGAGGCTAAAGTTAATATCCGATTGACTTTAAATTTATACACAGTGTTTAAGGTCATGAGATGAAGAAGTCGACTGATTTTCAGCGATTTCAGATATTTACTGCCAGAGTTATAGCCCTTGATCACTTAAAAAAAAATCTTGTGGACGGTTTAGAGACTAAAGTTAATATCCGATGGACTTTAAATTTATACACAGTGTTAACGGTCATGAGATGAAGAATCCTATTGATTTTCAGCTATTTCCGATAATTACCGCCAGAGTTATGGCCCTTGATCACTTCAAAATATCTTGTGGACCTCTAGAGGCCAAAGTCAGAGTTAAATTTATTTGCAGTGTTTGAGGTCATGAGACGAAGAATCCTATTGATTTTCAACGATTTCTGATAATTACTGCCAAAGTTATGGCCCTTGTTGTGACGCTCTAGAGGCTTATGTTATCATTCGATTGACTTCAGATTGATACACAGAGTTTAAGGTCTTGAAACGAACAAGTATATTGATTTTCAATGTATTTTGATAACTTGAACAGCTAAATCCATGATATTAAATATTTCGTATACTAAACTGAGCATGGGGCAGAAATTTATAAAAACCAAACAAATTCTAATGATTTTCTGATAATTACTTAATGAGTTGTTACTCTTAATCAGATTTTAGTGTATTATAAATGTTTCCATACTGAAAAAGTGAAAATATGCGACAACTCTTGTTGACTGCCCGCACAATTTAGCTGCTGTGGGCGTATGTTTCGTTGCCTGTGAACCTATCTTTGTATGTTTTGTCTGAAAATAAAATGGACTTTGTATACCATTTACTAAAAACTATCCGTGAGAGAAACTGTGTTACTTATGTGTTGATAATTCTGATGGAATCCTTAATATGGCAAGAGGATTGGTGACCGGGTAGTGCATCAGAATATGTCAGTGTGGCTTATAATAAGAACCTTTCACTGCCAACTGGTGTGGATTAGCGGATAAGCGTGTTCAAGGTCCCGTGTAGCCTACACATTGTTTGATACCTGCAAATTGACGTTGGATACTGCCACAATATATGTTCTGCTACAATATATGTTCTGCATGTTTCATCTTTCCAACAAATGAATGTTCATAATAGTTCAAAAACTATCCCTTTTCATTACCTTTTCCCCGATTGACCAATGATGTTACCAGTGCAAAGTTTATAATGATAACAAGCCAACAGCGAGGCTGATGTCCCCCTTCGAAATCCCAAACTAAATAGATGACATATTAATTAATCGCACATTTATTTTTTTCAAAAGTATCGAGCAATCAAACTATACACTAAGTTTCATCACTCTCTATCAGGTAGAATCAAGGTTATCTTGTCCCAAAGAATCGACCAATGAAATTGATTAGCTCAACTTCGCTTCAGCTCGAAATGTTAATCATTGAACTCAGTCAAGACATTTACCAAATGAACGTCTACATCAAGCTTAAACACTTTACCTCAATTAAAAGCAGAGTTGTTATGTAACAAAGTCTTGACTAATCAAATTGCTTAGCGCTCCTTAGCCTAAGCAGAAAATTCTCATCATCGAACTTAGTCAAGGTAATGATATAATGAATCTATACTCGGAGTTTCACCACTCACTTAATTAAAACCAAAGTTATCGTGCCCGAAAGCATCAACCAATCAGATTGCTTATCTGCTTACCGTAAGCAGACAATGTTTATCCCGAACTCCATCAAGGCATTCACCAAATGGACGCCTACACCAAGTTTGAACATTCTACCTCAATTAGGAGAGTTATTGTGTTCCAAAGTATCGACCAATCAAATTGCTTATCGCTCCGCTTACCCTGGGCAGAAAATGCTCCTTATCGAACTTAGTCACGGTATTGATGTGATATACACCAAGTTATCGTGTCCCAAAGCATCGACAAATCAAATTGCTTATCTCTGCACTTGCTGTATAGTTTTATCACATCAATAACTTGACTAAGTAGATGTTCATTAGGTGAATGTCTTGACTGAGTTTAATGATTAACATTTCGAGCTAAAGCTAAGCAGAGCTAAGCAATTTCATTGGTCGATGCTTTGGGACAAGATAACTTGATTCTGTCTGATAGAGTTGTGAAACTTAGTGTATAGTTGATAATCAGTTTGATTGCTTGATACTTTTGAAAAAAAAATGTGCTTACATGTAATTAATATGTGTCTGTTTATTTTAGAATTTCGGTGTGGGACATCAGCCTCACTGTTGGCTTGTAATTCTAAAATTTATGACAAATTAAATGTGGTACAAATGTTTATATGCAGTTACACGCTACGCAGGGACTAATAATGATGATATACCCGTTGTGCACTAGATCCCTGTTGAATCACGGTCAAAACATGTTTTTAATTCAAAAATGAAAAAAATGTCACGCTACAGCAAAATTTGCCTAAGTCAAACTGCTTTAAATGTTTTAAATTAAAAATTGTGATTGTATTAAGGTCAAATTTTGTTTTGGGTGTTATTAATATAATCTTTATATTATATTTGTAATACACACATTTTGCGCGTCATTAAATGACTTAGGTAATTTTTGTATTTGTACAAACCAGACTTAGGAAATTTTTGCATTAATTGTCCATTACATTAGGGAACTGGTAGTTGTTAGTAGTCTTAAAAAAAAAAAAATGACTTGCATCACAGTGGTCAGAAAGTCAAGTAACATTATTATACGTATTCTCATGGACAAAGTGAATGCATTTGATTGAGGAGGGGGGGGGGGGGTGGATGGCAGAATGGTTAGCACGTGCGTGCTGTATCATAAAGCCTGTCATTGAGTCAACTGGCGTGGTTTCGAATCCCCGGTTGTACGTGACAAGGAGTAGGGTCGCCTGCCCAACCCCGTGGGTTTCCTCCCACTGCTAGAGACCCCTACGCGCAAGCCAATTATTGAAATAAAATTAAACCATATGTTAGTCCCGATGTGACCTAGTTTGTGTCGAGTGGACGTTAAACTCCATTTCCCTCTCTCTCTCTCTCTCTTGCATTAGATTGATCTCTAGGCTGTCCAATACAAAGAAGTCATTTTAATCGTTGAAATATCATTTAATAAGATACATTCCCACAAAAAGCATTTTTTAGGACACTTCCAATAAAAGTATGGCAATTGTCAGATTTCTTGAAAAACACCCATTAAACGGGCACAGGACAAGACAAAATGTAAGGCTAGCAGTCTGTTGGCTGCTTTCTATTCGAGTGACGTAGGGGTTGCTTGATATGTTGATCAAATAGCTTAAATGTACAGCATTTTCTGCGATTAAACAGCGGAAAAAAGGTTGTCAGAGGATAATACAAGAATTTGCTTAGGCGTCGATATTTATGGTAATGGACAGAGCTTAACTACAAATACAAGCTACAATTGGACCTTCCTTCAATCAAGTCACATGACAGACTAGGCTTCTTAAAATAGATTGTTAAGACTTGAGGTAGTTGATTGCCATTAAAATGTTTTGAGGGATTTGATATATAAATAGTTTAAATATACTGTATTTTCAGTCCAAATATATCACCAAATTACAGTTTGTACGTGAGAAGGTATCTTGAAAGGTTCCCCCTTTCACGATTGGCGCTATGATTGAAATCGTGGAGTAATCGCGGTGATCCTACCCAGGTCTTATCATATCTGGAGGTCAGTTGCAGCAATCGTGTTTAGGACGGTTCAAATATTTTCTATGCTCAACGCGATCAAGTGTCAATAGTGATGATCTCTTCAGATCGTAACACAGCGCGACAAATCGCATCTCATCGTGGTGATAGACATAGACAAGACAAACACCATGCTCTGTTAATTAAGATGCACTGCGATCTCCGGAAGTTCAGGAAACAATGAAGTGCATGGTCAGTCGGGTTGTATATATACCTGTCGGGGTCCAATCGTAGCTCAAATCGCGATCACTCTCGATCACCAAAGACATCGTGACCACAATCGCACCCTAATCGTATCAAAACGTATCCGAACGTATCTGTCCGTATCAAATCGTGGACTCCATAGGGACAATCCTATCGGAATGTCTCTGTTCGTATCTGAACGGGTGACCACAGACCATGTCACATGAAATTGACCAATCATGACAATATCGCACCCAATCGTACCAGAACGTATCGAAAAGTAAATATAAATTCCACGATCAGCTAAGAATGGCCAATCGTCCCGTCGCACGTCAGTGGGAACCTAGCATTAGTAACAAATTGATGAGATAAACCGTGTTTACAGTGCCATTAAATCTAAACTTGTTGGACAAAAACCAAGGCCCTGTGTGTGCACGTAAAGGAACATTCGCTGACCCCTTTCGATATGCAGTGTTCCGCGACTTACGGTTCCGCAGTTATCTCCACTTTGCCGAAAACGTTGAAGCACTGGGGTAATGAGAGGACGAATCCTATCGATTTTCAGTGTTCCGCATCCACATCTCATTGCCGAACACCTTGCAACAAGTGACAGTTTTTAATGAATTTTTTCTCTCAAATTTGTTGGTAACCATTGGGGTCAGGAGAGGTCGAACGCTTGCAATATTCAGAGTTCTCCACGACTTTCCGCTTGACTACTTGACGGTTTTTAATGTACTTTTTCAAATTTGGTGGTAAGAAAATCGATCTTCTGCATCTTTCTTTTCTGGAGTTATGTCACGAATTTCCGAAAATCATGATAATGCGATAGAACCTACCGTTTTGGGCGGATTTATTTTATTCCAATTGTGATCATGTCGAACCATATCGACATTCAATTTTTGGCGATTTTCCGTTATTCCCCTTTTACCTACAGTTTTTAACGGAATTTTGTTTGGATTCGATTTCTTGAAGGCATACTTTATGCCTTATGCTAGGTTCCAACTGACAAGATACGTGCTACGATTGAAATCGTGGTTTTAATCGTGAAGTAATTTGTGGTGATCCTATCCAGCCCTCGATAAACTACTAAAAGGTTTTATTACTCAACAAATACCTTCTCGAAGTATGTAATAAAATCTAATCGGGTGTCCTATCAGGTCTTGTCATATATTGAGGTCAGTCGTAGCAATCGTGTTGGTCGTATCGAAACATATCCGATCGTGGACTCAATACGGACAATCTTATCGCAACGCATCGCACAACAGTGGGAACCCAGTATCAAATTTGTTGAAAAACCGAGATTTCTTTCTTTACTTTTTATACGCCCACATTGTATATTGTCGTCGGTTCGTCCGTCCGTCGGTTCGGCGTCCACAATTGCTTTTGGACGCTCTAGAGGCTCAAGTTAATATCCGACTGACTTTTAACTTTATACACGGTGTTTAAGGTGGACTCTCTAGGGTTCAAGTTAATACCCGTCTGACTTTAACTTTATACACGGTGTTTAAGGTCATGCGACGAAGAAGCCTGTTGATTTTCAGCGATTTCCGATAATCACTGCCAGAGTTATGATCCTTGATCACTTTGAAAAATCTTATGGACGCTCCAAAGGCTAAAGTTAATATGCGATTGACTTAAAATTTATACACAGTGTTTAAGGCCATGAGACGAAGAAGTTTATTGACTTTCAGCGATTTTCGATAATTACTGCCAGGGTTATGACCCTTGATCACTTCAAAAAATCTTGTGGACGCTCTAGAGGCCGAAGTTCATATCCGATTAACGTTATATTTATACACAGTGTTTAAGGTCATGAGACGAAGAAGCCTATTGATTTTCAGCAATTTCCGATAATTACTGCCAGAGTTATGGCCCTTGATCACTTCAAAATATCTTGTGGATGCTCTAGAGGCTAAAGATAATATCCGATTGACTTTAAATTTATACAGCGTTTAAGGTGATGAGACGAAGAAGCCTATTG